CTGGATATGCAACACTGTACTGTTATCTTCGAGTATCTTCGAGATGTTATTACAACATTCTGTGCGCACAAGCTATGCAAATTATTTGGGATTTAATTAAATGTCTGTACGCCTATATTACCAGTATATGCAGTAAACAGCAGTTCCACTATATGGGTAACCATCATATAAGGAAAATGTCATCACTATATAATATACAAATTTAATGACACACTATCACAAAATAATAATAATAATCTTATCAATAATTAATTCTGTATTCATAGAAATTCCTTTCTCTTCAAAAAAAATTCTCTTCTAATTCGTCAATTTACATATTGTTGTTTTTATGAATAAATTGTATAGACTCGATATAAAAACAAAAAAAAATTTTTTCTTCTCCCCTTAAAGGGTATTCTACAATTTAATAATATGTTCTAGAACTTTTTAAGTTTGTTTTACAACCTTAAAGAATAGTTTTACAACCTTAAATTTGGAACTTGGCGTTGTTTTTACAATTAATTAGATTCGACCATGACTTAACTTTGAATTAAACTTGAAGTGATGGCATGAACTACAAATGACTTTGAAGTGACCTTGACCTGACCTTCAAATGACCTTGGCTGACCATGACCTGATCTTCAAACGACCTTGAATAATTTTGACCATCAAATGACCTTGACTTGACCATTAAGTGACCTTGAATAATATTGCCCTTTAAATGATCTTGAATTACCTTGACCTGACCTTCAAATAATCTTGGATTGACCTTCAAATGACATTAACCTTATCTTCAAACGACCTTGACCTTAACCTTGACCTTCAAATGACCTTAAAATGTTCTTGAATTACATTGACCTGGCCTTCAAATAACCTTGGTTTCACCATGAAGTAACCTTGAATTCCTTTGACCTGGCCTTTAAATGACCTTGACTTGACCATGAAGAAACCATGAGCTGATCTTCAAACGACCTTGAATAACTTTGACCATCAAATGACCTTGACTTGACCATGAAGTGACCTTGAATAACATTCCCCTTTAAATGATCTTGAATTACCTTGACCTTACCTTCAAATAATCTTGGATTGACATTCAAATGACATTGACCTTATCTTCAAACGACCTTGACCTTAACCTTGACCTTCAAATGACCTTAAAATGTTCTTGAATTACCTTACCCTGGCTTTCAAATGACCTTGAAGTGACCTTGAATTACCTTGACCTGGCCTTCAAATGACTTTGGTTTGACCATGAAGTGACCTTTAATTACCTTGATCTGGCCTTCAAATGACCTTAACTTGACAATGAAGTGACCTTGAATAACATTGACCTTTAAATTACCTTGACCTGACCTTTAAATGACTTTGACCTAGCCTTCAAATAACCTTGAATTGACATTCAAATGAGCTTGACCTTATCTTCAAACGACCTTAAGTAACCTTGACCTTCAAATGACCTTCAAATGACCTTAAAATGTCCTTGAATTACCTTGACCTTCCCTTCAAATGATCTTGGTTTGACTATGAAGGGACCTTGAATTACCTTGACCTGGCCTTCAATAGACTTTGACTTTACCATAAAGTGACCTTGAATAACATTGACCTTTAAATTACCTTGACCTGACCTGTAAATGACCTTAAATTACCTTGACCTGGCCTTCAAATAACCTTGAATTGACTTTCAAATGGGCTTGACCTTATCTTCAAACGACCTTAATTATCTTTGACCTTCAAATGACCTTAAAATGTCCTTGAATTACCTTACCCTGGCTTTCAAATGACCTTGAAGTGACCTTGAATTACCTTGACCTGGCCTTCAAATGACCTTGATTTGACCATGAAGTGACCTTTAATTACCTTGATCTGGCCTTCAAATGACCTTAACTTGACCATGAAGTGACCTTGAATAACATTGACCTTTAAATTACCTTGACCTGACCTTTAAATGACTTTGACCTAGCCTTCAAATAACCTTGAATTGACATTCAAATGACTTTGATCTTATCTCTTAAAACGAACTTGAATAACCTCGACCTTCAAATGACCTTGAATGTCCTTGACTTGACATTGGCCTAACCTTCAAATGGCCTTGAATGACCTTGAATTTCCTTGACCTTACCTTCAAATGACCTTGAATTGTCTTTGACTTAACTTTGAATGAGCTTTGGTTAAATATTAGGCTCATTCTTTACTAGAATTTAACCACAGTATCTTTTTTACGCAGAAACGTTACTTTACAACCTAAGTTTGTTCTAATACCTTTCTAAAAGAAGAGATCATTTTGACTGAAAATCAGTTGACAAAATTTCTTTCTCTTTAGAAAAGAAAGTTCTCTTCTAATTCGTCAATTCACATTGACTTGTTGTTCATTTAATAAATCGTATAGACTCGATATAAAACAAAACATTTTTTTTTCTTCTCGCCTAAAAAAAGAAATTATTTTGACTCAAAGTAAGCCAAAACTAATTTCTTTTCTCTTTTGAAACAAAATTCTCTTCTAATTTGTCAATCTACGTTGACTAATGTTTTTTTGAATAAATTCGTATAGACTCGATATAAAACAAAACAATTTTTTTTTTCTCTCCTAAAAGAAAAAAAGAAATTATTAACCTGTTTTTAATACTTTACTTAAATTAATTAATGAATATGTAATATTAATTTTTTTCGTAATTTTTCATTTCTAAACAAAATTTTACCAATATTAAAAAAAAGAAGAGAATATAGAAAAATTGACCACAAAGTGCTTTTCTTTTTTTTTTTTTTGAACAATTTGCGTTCGATTTCTTCTTCGCCTATATTTTTAACACGTTTTACTTAACGTTTTGTTCTCTATGGTTATCCAGTTAACGTTCCCTTTACATTGTCACACTATTATTATTTTGTCGAAGTAATTTTTTCTCGTTTTCCAGACAGTTTGCCAACTAGGTTTCGCGGAAGTCCACTTGGATTATTGTGTGGATTCACTGGAAAAATAAATATATATATATTAACTCGCGGCTCGTTTCATTTATTGCTAGTTTGACCTGTTCTGTATCACAAATAAATTCCAAAAAAAAATTTTTTTTAATTTGATTAATGCATTGTCATAGATAGTGAAAAATTATCCCAAAAAAAAAAAATTTTTTTTGATAAAAGAGAAGAAGAATTCTATTTCTTTCTAGTTCCATTTACATTTTGATTTAAAATTTATCTCGATAGAAAATTAATAATATTCGTCAAAGTTCACGTTCTGTGAGATGAATACGATTTTTATATCTCTGGAGAAAAGCTAAACGTAATATATATATATATATATATATATATATATATATATATATGTCTGGGTTATCATAATATTGAGGAATAAAGCCTTTCAAAGCAATTGAATATTTGCTTTTATTATTATCAGAGAATTGCTTTATGATGAGAGAATCTGAAATATGAATATCTTCAACTAATTTATTAAAGAACAGAGGTACATTAAAGGATGCTCTTGGAAGGTTTCATCTTCTTGTAATAGGGTTGCTCTTCAATAGACAAAGGTTTTAATTACGCATTTTAAAAAATTGTTAATAATTGAACTTTGAAAATTTCATTAATTTCTTATGCACTTTTTAAATTAATTAAAGTTCATTTCTTTTTGTAGTATTTGAGATTTTACATTGATTTTGGTTCTAATTTTTGAAATAATTCTGTATTAAGAGAATTATTAATTTTACATAGATGGTTAAAAAAATAAAACAACGATAAATTAAAAAAAAAGCATGAGAATTATACTTATATTTTGTAACAAGTAATGTAAAAATATAATAGTAAATTGATGATTTTTCTTTAATAGCGGATATAGTTTGACGATTTGTAAACGTTTTATGTATCCGAATGTTTCTCGAACTGCAAATAGCGATTGGCAGGAAATTACCAGTCGTTAAACTTACTTTTGAGCTTCTTATCAGGAATTGTATGTGTGTTAAAATGGAAACTGTAAAGAGAGAGAGAGAGAGAGAGAGAGAGAGAACTTACTTCTCGTAAACATGAGGCAATTTACCTCTCGTATAATATCGATCACTAAACTTTTAGAATTTAGGCGCGCATTAAATAATTCAATTTTCCTCTGCAAAATCTTCTCTATTAATATATGACAAATATTTCCACAAAGTTAATTACTAAACTTTATTATATCAATATCTAACTCAAAACTGGAAAAAATTTTCTAATCCAATTCAATTGAGGATTCAACAGAATTTATAATTTTTCCAAATATTTTCTCTATAGAAAATTTTTTTTCTATTTTACATATATGCAACATACTTGAATACAGAAGTTATAAATTTCTTTTAAACATATTTTTTTTTTTTTCTAAGAGAAAATCAACTTTTGATTCATTGTCGTTTGTAAAAGTCATTCGTGTCATTTATTGTACAGATGAATTTTCAATGTATCGAGAAGTAGCAGCAGCAGCTGTGCGATAGTTTTTGATACACACAAATCGTGACAAGAAGAATCGATTTATATACATATATATATATACGATATGATCGATTTTAGACGGAATACTAAAATGGCTTTTATCGCATACGTTTGCTGTAAATTTGAGAAATGATGACAGCCTTTCCGAAATGTCAAGCTTAAAATATTTACCTATACATGTGTATTATCGCAAAATGATTGGTAACTCACATGACTTTATAAAATACAAAATACTTTCAAAAATTTTAATTCATCAATTTCCAAATTCTATTTTTTTTTTTCACCTTCGAAACAAACTTATAATGCAAAAAAAAAAAAATGATGTAGAGACTGGAAATCTTCTTAAAGATAGATTTATGAACTGCATAAAGTCGGAAAAGTGGTGGCTAAAAAGAAATATGGCCCTTGGAGGAAAAATGTAATCGCGTAACAAAAAGAAAAAAAAAGAAGTAAAGAAAATTGTTATCCTTCCCACAACGTCAAGTAGGATGGATGTTTCTTGCAAAAAAAAAAAAAAAAAAAAAAAAAAAACTGATGAAAAACCACAATTTTTCTAATTTTCTTTTTTTTCACAGGATATGGAAGTATAGCACCAAGATCATCTTGGGCCAAGGTCGCGACAATGGGTTACGCGAGTTTGGGAATCCCCTTGACTTTGGTATACTTATCAAGTGCTGGTGGTTTATTATCACGTTGCGCCCGAGGCGTTTTTACCAGAGCACTATGCTGTTGCCTTTGCTCCAATTGTGGCTATTGCTGTTACGATGAAAGACGAATGCAGGTATAGAAAATATTATTTTTATTTACTGTTAACAATATTTACACAAATATATTTATTATCAAATAGGTAAGATAATTTTTTTTTTAAACAGTACAATTGATTATTTATGACAAATTTTAACTCGTATAAATTCGTATAGACTCGTATATAAAACAAAATAATTTTTTTTTCTTCTCTCCTTTAAGGATGTTTTACAACTTAAAACTTTTTTTCCTAAAACCTTTCAAGTTTGTTTTACAACCTTAGAGAATTGTTTACAAACTAGAGCTGTGCAATGTTCGAATCGAATCGAATTTGGTTCGGTTTTTAATGACCCTGACTCGAATTTCGAACTTTCGACATTAGAACTGGACTGACTCGGAAGTCGGATTTTCGACATTCGACCTGGACGGACTCGAATGTCGAAACTGGGCTGACTCGAACAGTTCGGTTCGATTTATTTTGCACAGGTCTAGATATTTTCATTTTCCAGGAAAACATTCTATTCAAAAAAATGGAATAAAATTGATAATTTTTAGTCTACTGCAATTTAGGTTCAATTGGTAGGTTTTTTCTGAAGGTATTAGGTGTTGTTTTAAGGTAAAAAAATAATAGAGACATGCTGATTAATTTTTTTGAATTTGTAAGGAATTTTTTCATTTTCCAGGAAAACATTCTATTCAAAAAAATGGAATAAAATTGATAATTTTTAGTCTACTGCAATTTAGGTTCAATTAGTAGGTTTTTTTGAAGGTATTTCGTGTTGATATTAGGTAAAAAAAATAATAGAGATATGCTGATTAATTTTTTTTGAATTTGTAAGGAATTTTTTCATTTTCCAGGAAAACATTCTATTCAAAAAAATGGAATAAAATTGATAATTTTTAGTCTACTGAAATTTAGGTTAAATTAGTAGGTTTTTTCTGAAGGTATTAGGTGTTGTTTTAAGGTAAAAAAATAATAGAGACATGCTGATTAATTTTTTTTTAATTTGTAAGGAATTTTTTCATTTTCCAGGAAAACATTCTATTCAAAAAAATGGAACAAAATTGATTATTCCTATTCCATTGCAATTTAGGTTCAATTGGTAGGTTTTTCTGAAGGTATTAGGTGTTGTTTTAAGGTAAAAAAATATTAGAGACATGCTGATAATTTTTTTTTAATTTGTAAGGAATTTTTTCATTTTCCAGGAAAACATTCTATTCAAAAAAATGGAATAAAATTGATAATTTTTAGTCTACTGCAATTTAGGTTCAATTGGTAGGTTTTTTCTGAAGGTACTAGGTGTTGTTTTAAGGTAAAAAAATAATAGAGACATGGTGATTAATTTTTTTTAATTTGTAAGGAATTTTTTCATTTTCCAGGAAAACATTCTATTCAAAAAAATGGAACAAAATTGATAATTTTTAGTATACTGCAATTTAGGTTCAATTGGTAGGTTTTTTCTGAAGGTATTAGGTGTTGTTTCAAGGGAAAAAAATAATAGAGACATGCTGATTAATTTTTTTTGAATTTGTAAGGAATTTTTTCATTTTCCAGGAAAACATTCTATTCAAAAAAATGGAACAAAATTGATTATTCCTATTCCATTGCAATTTAGGTTCAATTGGTAGGTTTTTCTGAAGGTATTAGGTGTTGTTTTAAGGTAAAAAAATATTAGAGACATGCTGATAATTTTTTTTGAATTTGTAAGGAATTTTTTCATTTTCCAGGAAAACATTCTATTCAAAAAAATGGAATAAAATTGATTATTCCTATTCCATTGCAATTTAGGTTCAATTGGTAGGTTTTTCTGAAGGTATTAGGTGTTTTTTTAAGGTAAAAAAATATTAGAGACATGCTGATAATTTTTTTTTAATTTGTAAGGAATTTTTTCATTTTCCAGGAAAACATTCTATTCAAAAAAATGGAATAAAATTGATAATTTTTAGTCTACTGCAATTTAGGTTCAATTGGTAGGTTTTTTCTGAAGGTACTAGGTGTTGTTTTAAGGTAAAAAAATAATAGAGACATGGTGATTAATTTTTTTTAATTTGTAAGGAATTTTTTCATTTTCCAGGAAAACATTCTATTCAAAAAAATGGAATAAAATTGATAATTTTTTGTCTACTGCAATTTAGGTTCAATTGGTAGGTTTTTTCTGAAAGTATTAGGTGTTGTTTTAAGGTAAAAAAATAATAGAGACATGCTGATTAATTTTTTTTAATTTGTAAGGAATTTTTTCTTTTTTCAGGAAAACATTCTATTCAAAAAAATGGAACAAAATTGATAATTTTTAGTATACTGCAATTTAGGTTCAATTGGTAGGTTTTTTCTGAAGGTATTAGGTGTTGTTTCAAGGTAAAAAAATAATAGAGACATGCTGATTAATTTTTTTTGAATTTGTAAGGAATTTTTTCATTTTCCAGGAAAACATTCTATTCAAAAAAATGGAATAAAATTGATTATTCCTATTCCATTGCAATTTAGGTTCAATTGGTAGGTTTTTTTTGAAGGTTACCAATGTTGTTTTAAGGTAATAAAATAATAGAGACATGCTGATTAATTTTTTTTGAATTTGTAAGGAATTTTTTCATTTTCCAGGAAAATATTCTATTCAAAAAAATTGTATAAAAATTATTATTTCTTTTGTATTACAGTTTAGGTTCAATTGGTAGGTTTTTTTTGAAGGTATTACGTGTTGTTTTAAGGTAAAAAAATAATAGAGACATGCTGATTAATTTTATTTGACTTTGAAAGGGATTTTTTCATTTTCCAGGAAAACATTCTATCTAAAAAAATCGAAAAAAATTGATTATTCTTACTCTATTGAAATTTAGGTTCAATTGGTAGGTTTTTTTGAAGGTAAAAAGTGTTGTTTGAAGGTAAAAAAATAAAAGAAACATGCTGATTAATTTTATTTGACTTTCTTTTTTGAAACGAAATTCTCTTCTAATTCGTAAATCTACATTGACTCGTTTAAATTCATATAGACACCGATATAAAACAATACAAATTTTTTTTTTTCCCCCTAGGAAAAGGAAAGGCGAATGAGAAAGAAAAGACAACAGGAGGAAATGGCGCAACAGCAACAGCAAATGCAATTACAGGAGCCATTTTATGTGAGAGCAAATGCCTCAACATATCCAAATGTTGAGATAAAAGCAAGTCCAAAAGATGAGGTATCAAGTCTCGGTTCAGGTGATAGACCAAATGTTACAATACTTGCACCAATTAGCATATGTCTTGGTGCAATGTTGTGCTACATTATTGCCGGTGCTTTTGCACTTCATAAGTTGGAGGGTTGGACTATTGTTGGTACGTAGAAAAATATTAATTTTTTTTTTTCATTTTAGTAAATTAATTTTGTTTTTTTTTTATGATCTATAATAAATTGATGGAAAATCATGATAATATTAACGTAAATGCAAAATTATATTATACACCATTCAATAGCAAAGCTTGGAAACTTAACTCCCTTGAGTGCAAAGCTCTCTAAGAGAGTATAAATATTCATAAATATTATTCTCGAATCGATGGTATATAGATAGATATTTAAATATTGATGAAAAATTTTTTTTTGTAAATAGAAATTGGAATTTTAAAATAGAAAAATAAGTTCAAAAGGTCATTATAATTGTCTTAATTTTCATATTTTAATATCATCAACGATAAAGAAAAAAAAAATTAAAAAATTGAACATTAATTGTCCTAACTGAAAAAATAATTTAGAAAAACAATTTTATGATTTTCCTCTGCATATACTAAAAAAATTTTTTTGATTCAAATACTCGATTACTTGACTATTAAATAAATATTTACATGAACTAAACAATTTTTATTTTCGATACCAAATTAATTTCAAAAATCAAGCAGGCTGAAAAATAGTTTATCTAAAATTTATGAAAAAAAACTTTTAAAATAATTTAGATATTTCTTTTTGCATTTGAAAGAGCTTTCATTTTTTCTTTCAAAATCCGTTGGAATAATTAAAAAATTTTCAAAAATAACAAAATGGCGGTTATTTTAATAAAAAATTTTTTATTTAATCTCGAAAATAAAAATTATTTGATTCAAGTAAATATTTATTTGATAATAGAGCCAAATAATCGAGTATTTGAATCAAAATTATTTTTTTTCAGTAACTAATAAATAAGATAAAATCATAATTACACCAATTTTTTTTTTACAGATGCATGCTACTTCTGCTTCATGAGTTTAAGTACAATTGGTTTTGGCGACATGCTACCCGGTTCCTATCCTCATTATAATATTCACGAATCACAGAATATAACCATATGGTTCTGTTCATGTTATATAATGTCGGGTATGGCATTGACGGCAATGTGCTTCAATATTCTGCATGATGAAATTGTTCATCGGCTTAATCATCAAAACGATAAACAGGAACAAGTCAAGACCAGTCCAAGTGTCGATGAATTAACATCAACCGATCCATTTGCACTTACATCGTGACAATTTCCCACAAGTAATTTATGCCATAGAAATGTTACTGAGGAAAGTTTAATTTGCGGTGATCCACCAATAAGTATATTTGCTCATGAAAATGAAATAAATATTCTCAAGGATACATCGTATAATAATCAAGTTGACGTTACAAGAGATTGTAAACCAATTCTTAAACTTGAGGATCATATTAGTCATTTGCCAGCTGTTTATACATTGCCGGAAGTTGATGAAGAAGCCGAGGAAAATACCGAAATGTAAAACTTCAACTGAAAGTATGTTAAAAAAAAATAAATTTTGAAAAAAAAGGCTGGACTGAAAAAAAATTTATTTGCCTCAAATAATTATCAAAAAATTATTTATTTTTATCAAATAATTATTACTGGAGATATTTGTTTCAAATACAGAAATTATTGGTACAAATACAGTTTATTTAATTGAAATAAAAATTATTTTCTTGAAATTAATATTTATTTGATAATATATTTATTTGATCAAATAATCGAGTATTTGAATCAAATAAATTTTTTTTTTGCAAGCCTTTGAGGATTTCATGACTCTGAAGAATGTGATTCAATTATTGTTTAATTAATTGTATTAATATTAATTGTATCATAAATATTATTTATAATAAACTATTATATGTAAATAATTGAAAATTAAATGAAATTTTTAAAATTTCTAAGTGAAGAATACACTCACAGAAAATTAAAAGGCACTAAAATAAGCTGCAACGCTTATTATTTTAATCCATTTTGGTATTAAAATAAGCAAAATTGGATTAAAATAATAAGCATTGCAACTTATTTTAATGCCTTTTAATTTTCTGTGCTAAAATTTTGTTTAATAAAAATTCTTCGGCCATGAAATCCTTTTTTTTAGAAAAAAGTCTCAAAAAGGCGTTTTCAGGTGAAGACTTCGTGCCTTCAGGATGTTGTAATGATTGTTGAAATAATTTTTTATATTGAAGACTTTATAAAACAAAAACAAAAAAACGAGAGAACGAAAAAAAGGTTTTCTTTTTACAAATTGTATAAATAATGTTTTGAATATATATTGAAAATTTCTGTATTGAGTCTTCAATATTTCTAAAAAAAAAAAATATATATATATATCAGGATACATATATGTATATATAATTCAAAGAAAACAAAAGTTTCTTTACAGAAAATTAGCTTCAAAATTAATATTCTGTAAAGAAAAACAATTTAAATCTAAACGTCTCTGCAAATATAATATTAAGTTTCTCTTTTTTTTTTAAACGGATGCTGTATATACTTTTTTTTTTTGGAAAACGATTCAAATTTTTTCAAACTATTAAAAAAAACGTATTTAAAAAATGCATAGGTTCAATTTTCGAAAATCTATTTTTGTTTCATTCGTTCAAAAGAAAAAATGAAATATCAAAAAAAAAAACAAATGCAACGTCCTGATGCTGAAAATTAAAAAAAAAAATAGTTATTGTCATTTCTACGGGCCTATGTATTAAAAAGAAGTTTTTTTTATACTTCCTAAAAAAAAAAATGGACCCTCGCGATGTAAAATACTTTTTATATATATATAGTGACTTATTGAACCTTCAAAATAGGGGCGTCCGGCCGTTCAATATGGATTAAAAAACTTTTTTCAAAGAAGGGGGCAAAAACACGCACCTAAAGTTTTAAATCGAAAGTTAGTTTTCAACTGACTTGTGTCCACGAATCTTTGCGACTGTGTGTCCAAATGGAATACACTTGAGCATCTGTGTGTGAACTTTTTTTTTTTTTTAAATAAGAAAATTTCTGAAAAATCTGTTAGTAGAAAGTATCGGAAAAGAAATGAGAATAAAATGAAGAGAAATCTTTTTCGAGATTCGACGTCCCTTTATATATATATATAGTATATATATATATATAAATCATTACGTCCACGTCCGGACGCAGAAAAAAAAAATACTAAGGTCGAATTCTATGCTCAAGAACAATAACTATTATATTCTTACGATTAGTTGTAATATTGATATAAATATTTGTAAGGAAATTGCGCTTATTCGAGTGGAGCTGTGCCAGATTTTTGTTTTTTTCAAAAAAAAAAATTATTTAACTATCAAAAGACTGATCAATTAAAATATAATTTAAAAAATTTCTTTTTTCAAAAAAAAAAAATAGTTTAAAATTTTTATTTTAGTTTTAGTTCAGCTATATTTTTAATAATTTTTTTTTTTTAATAGAATTTAATTTTATTCTCGCTATAAAAAAGGAAATTCAAATTTAAAAATTAGCCACAGCTCTACTCGCGTTGTTTAATTATTAAAATACTCAAGACTGCTATCCGCAAAAAAAAAAAAACGATAGCTGTAAAATGTATACAATTTTAAGGTGAAATCAATGTGTCAGCAGGTGTGGAAAAAAAAACCTCTAAATTTCCTTTTTATGAACGAAAAAGATTTTCTTTTTTTTTATGCTGCACAAAAAAAAACGACTGACCACAAGTATAAATAAAAAAAAAAATGCATTATAGTCTCCTAGAAAGGCCACTTTCGTTTATTAACATATCATATACGATAGGATGTGAGATGTATATTAATTATTAAAAAATCGAAATCAAAAAAAAAAAAATCCAAAATTACTCTCAAATATAAAAAATATATGACAATCGTGATTCTGTATAATTATTATCACACAATGATTGTTGAAAATTGTTTGTTTTTTCTTGTGGCGCAGAAAATGGCAGTCAATAGTCTCCCACTGTTTAAGAAATAAAAAAAAAAAATGTATAATAAATATATGTCAAAAGTAGTTTCTTTAATTATTGTTAAAAAAAAAAGTGTTATTAATTTTTTACTCCTAGTAGAAAATTTACCTTTTTTTTCAAAATTTATTTTTTTTTATTATATTTTGTTTGTAAAATCCTTTTTTTGTGACCATTTCTTTCTTTTCTTCTTTCTTTCTTTTTTTTTATCTTCCTTACAAACCCATGGGAAATATAACCAAGTCCAAGACATTGTGGCGAGCCGGTTTGGAAAACTTTGCCTTCAATTTTACGACGAGAAATTCGAATGAAAAGTCAAACGCCATGGGAGTTATTTTTCTCGATGTTATATACGTTCCTTTTTGCTCATCTTGCGAATAAATGTGAAGAGGATACGAATCTTAAATTCAGTTAATAATGAAGTTACTATTGTCACTTTTTATTATATAAAAAGAAAGTGAATCTTGAAAATTTTTTTTAAAAGGTTTTTTTAAAATCACTGATATGAGAGCGCGATTCTTTTTAAAGTTACACTTTCAAAAAGAGCAGACACAAGTTTCTTATATTCCTTATATGAGTTTCATTCTGGTTTTTTTTTTTTTTTTTTTTTTTTTTTGGGAGTCGATTTCGTTTTATTTGCGTCTAGCTCAGCACTTCAGTTTTCGCGCTTCGATAAGACTTTTTCTCATCCTCTCTTTTTTGACTTGCACAAAAGTACAATACCAAATTTTTATATCAAAAAGGTACAGAAAAAGATGAATGCGATTATTGTTGATTCAATGCATTCTCAAGAATATAGTGAGAAAATTGTCAAAGAATTTTGTTTTATTTCAAAAAAAAAAAAAAAAAATTAAATTTTTCTCTTCATTCTTTATATAGAGAGAAAATTTAGTCAAATCAAAGAAATTTTAAATACACTGAAATAAAAATAGAAAATGGATTTTTAAATTTAAAAAGAAGAATTTTTAAAAATATATCTAAAAAATTAATGAACTAAAAATTTATTAAATTATAATATTTATTTTAATGAAATATACTATTTTTGATATACAATATATTTACACAATACAGTGGATGAAAAATAAAATAAAAAAAAAAAAAAAAAATCCTTGCGTGAATGCCAATAAGTAAACAGACCGCGCAATGGAATCGAAATCGAGTCATAAATCGCACATGTAGCCGTGCGAAATTGCTGAGAAGGCAAGAGGATACATTGGTTACATGAATGCATTTCTTTTTCATGCCTTCCTCATATTCCAATCACCGACATGTATACGTGCATGTCACACTTTTGTAATATAAAGTTTTTGTTTTTTTTTTTCTATCTGCAATGCGACGTCAAAATTTTTATTATATTTTTTTTAAAAAAAATATTTTTTAATACATTTTCTGTTTTTTTTTTAATATTATTATTTAATAATTAATAATTATTATTTAATAATTAATAATTAATAATTAATAATTAATAATATTATTTTTATTATATAATAAACCATTTATTATATTTCAAAAAATATATTTATTCAATTAAAAATACATTTTTTATTATAAAATATTAATATTTCAATTCAATAATATCAAATCATATTAATTTAAATAATTTAATTAAATAATTTAATAGTTAAATAATTTTTTTTAATTATTTGCATTTATTGATAACAAATTTATTTAATTAATATTTCAATATTTACAAAAAAGGGAAAGATAAATTTTCAAAAAGTAAAACATTTAAAAATTCAGGGATTCCCAAATTGTTTAATTTAAACAAAAATTATTTACATAAATAAAAATAAATAATAAATAAATATACTAAATAATGTAATAAATTTCCAATGAATAATAATTTCCAAAGTAATTATAAAACAGAATTTATTATATTACAAAAATAAATTTAAAAAAGCGCGCCAAAAATAACTACATAAATAAAAATAAATAATAAATGATAATAAATTTCCAATGAATAATAATTTCCAAAGTAATTATAAAATAGAATTTATTATATTACAAAAATAAATTTAAAAAAGCGCGCCAAAAATAACTGTCGGTTATAAATGTTTTTTTCTACATTATCAATAGAAGTTTTAAACAATTTTTAAACACCAGTTGGTAATTGTCGGTAAATTAAAGGAGAAACTTGAATTATTTACCGCTAGGAACGCTAGTGAAGCCCGGCGCATTCATCGCTGACGGAAGAACATATGTTGTATCAAAGACGCATGCGCAGTTATCGCTTCCGCGACGTACCGAGACATCTTTCCAGTCAAATCGCAGTGATTGTTTTTCAATTTTAGTCAATATTTAAAGGAACTTTTATTAATGTCAGAGCCACAGTCAGCTCTTTTACTACGTAAACAATTAGCAGGTATTAATGTGTATAAAAATTTTGTGTTAAGTGTATAATTATTGTGCAATGTGAATGTCAAAAAATGTAAAATTAAATGCTCTAAAATTTTTAACTGAAAAACGAAACCAACCATCCTTGCCGCTTGTGACTCTTTCGAAATTTTTTATTTCTATTGTGAAGAATTATTTTTTTTTCTCACAATTTCCTGAGTATTTAAATCTTCTAATTTTTTTTTTTTTTTTTTTCACTATTTTACAATTCTCTAACTTGAATTCGGGGCGTGAAAATCAATACGAAGCTGCTGTGTGGTGTGTTCGGGTTTCGTCCCCCTTGGAATAACGTTAACCTAGCATTTCATGTTTTCGCTTTTTGTACACGCGTGGAACTCTTGTGCGCCGTCGTCATCGTCAAATGTCGTCGTCAAACTGCCGACCCCAGATTTTAACACGAAAATAATTGTCAGACCATGTTTATTTATAGCCATTTTGCGCGTTACAAAATTCCTTGAGGATCGCATTTTAGTTTGGCGGTGATAAAAAAAAAAGAAAAAAAAAAAAAAAAAAGAAAAGGCGATGCGAAAGCAGCATTGGCGGCGAAGGTCGATTGCCTTCAAACCAACTCTCTTTGGTTTTTGCACATGGCGAATTTTAAAACTTAACTTCGAGGGTTGATTGACCTCTCTCTTTCTCTCTCTCTCTTTTATATGTTAACCTTGATAGAATACAATGAACCTAGAAAAAATCGTGATCCTTAAAAAAAAAAAAATATCAATTTTTGACAGTGTCTGTCAATTTGATTAGTTAAGTAATGTCGCGTGTTGAATAATAATACACATAACCTATAAATTGCAACAAAACTTCCCAAGCACTGTTGTCGTTTGGCGGATGCGTTACAACACTTTCTCCACAATTCATTTATAGCTTTCGATTTCTTCCTTTTTATGATCTCACTCACGTAACAACGCTTCTTCCATTTTTAGTGTTAATTATTTTTTTTTCGTTTTCTTTTCTTTTTCGATTTTATAGAGTATAAAAATTTCTTTGTCTATTCTAACCTAGAAATTATATGATTTTGCAATATTGACCTTGGACTTTGTAATTTGCGGAAATCATTGTGAAATAATTATCCCTTTTATTGACATTTTTTTTTTTTTTATTGTTGAGAGAAAATTTTATTATATAGATTTAGAACATGATTTATTTATTTTTTACAGAATTGAATAAAAACCCAGTTGAAGGGTTTTCAGCAGGTTTAATAGACGACAATGATATTTATCGATGGGAGGTGCTTATTATTGGACCTCCGGATACATTGTAGTAAGTATTTTAAAAGAAATTAGTTTTTTTCCATTAATTTGAAATAATTAATTTTGTTTTTTTAATTTCAATTTTAGTGAAGGTGGCTTTTTCAAAGCACATTTACAATTTCCGAAGGAATACCCCTTAAGGCCTCCTCGTATGAAGTTTATAACAGAAATATGGCATCCAAACAGTGAGTTTTTAATTCTATAGATTCTATAATTTGATTTTTTTTTTTCTAATCAGTTATTTAGAATTTTTTTTTTTTTTTTACAAAGAAGCAATAATTTATATTTAAATTTACGAGAATTTGGAGAAATTTTTTTAAAAAAGAATTTTTTCTTTTTTTTATTTAGTCGAAAAAAATGGTGATGTATGCATATCCATTTTGCACGAGCCTGGTGATGACAAATGGGGATATGAGAAGGCTTCAGAACGGTGGTTACCGGTGCATACAGTGGAAACTATTCTCATAAGCGTCATCAGTATGCTCGCTGATCCAAATGACGAAAGTCCAGCTAATGTAGATGCTGCTGTAAGTTTTTTTTTATTCTCTAAATCTTAAAAAAAAAAAAAATTCCTTTTTTTTTGCTATCGCGTAAACAAAAATTGAGAGAACGCGATGCCTTTTTTTTTACTAATTAATATTTTATTTATCACTCTCCACAATTTTTTAAGAATATAAAAATAAAATAATATTCTATATATAATAATAATATATAAAAATAAATAGTTTACTATAATATTAATCGCAAAAGAATTAAAAAAATAGAATTTCGATTATTTTCTTAAGTAAAATAATTTTTTCTAATAAAATTATTAATAATTAATTTTTGTTTTTTTCGCCTAAATTATAGAAAGAATGGCGAGAAAGTTATGTGGAGTTCAAACGGAAGGTGGCAAGGTGTGTCAGAAAAAGCCAAGAAGAGTGTGCGTAGGGGGAATGATTATTATTAAAACGGAAAGACTTATTTAATTCTGGTAAGCTTTTTTTTTTCCCCTACAAGATTACAAATTTCTTCAAAAATATTTTAGATTTTCTAAAAAAAAAAAAACCTTGCTTAATCCATTAAAGTACCTAGTTTTGCTATTGAAAAAAAATCATATTTCAAAGAATTATTATTAATAATAAAAATTAATTGAAAAAATTCATTTCTTTAGAAATTTAATTGTTAAAATTATTGAAAGAAAAAATGAAAAGAATTTTTTCATTTATTTTTTTTAATCTATTTTCATTGATATAGGGAAGCCGTAAGCACTGTGCAAAAGTAAAAAAAGAAAAAAAAAGTTCAGCATTAAAGCTCATGGACAACAGTGTCACTAATTACGCTCGACCCATCCTTTCGCAGAGCTGGAGGGAGAAAGTCGATCTCTTGCAATTTTTTTTTTTTTTTTTGTCAAGCGTTCAAAAATTGATCTCCGCCACCTTTTACTTACCATCAATTAAACGCGAAACAAAACAAGTAACTAAATAACATGCAGCTCACATTTTACAATGACTAATCTAATTTACATATTTACAAAAAAAAAAAAAAACAAAGGAAAAAACAGAAATCACCTGTACAATTTCTACTTTATATTACCTACTAGTTACTGTAATCTAAACGTTCCCCTCTTCCATTTCCCTTTTTTTTTTTTTAAACCATCATTTCCTCCCTCATCATCTGATCTCCGTATCCTTTTTAATTAAAAAAAAAAAACAAAACAAAACAAATACTACGTTCAATTATTACTCATCGATAATTCCCTCAATGTCCTTTCGTATTTTCTTACTTTTTTCATTATATAAAATCTATAAATATATATATAAATAAAAAAAAAAAATATAAATAAATTTTTGTAAAGTCAAAGAACAAAACAATCGTCGAATATGTAATAATTATAATAATAATAATAATAATAATGTCAGTGATGGGAGAAATATCGCTCGAATATTGCTTTGATACTATGTTAATATCGGGTAATTATCGACTATTGCGTTAGAATATAAAAGAAAAAAAGTTAGGAAGATTTCTTCTGAACCGTAAGTTGCCAAAATAACGAATTCTAATTAAATTAATTGATGTCATAATAAACAGTGATAATTAAGTGGAAAAAAAAAAAGTGTCGCTGATAACGGCTTAGGAAAATAATAGATTTTTCTCAATTTTTGCGCCAGAATGAACTTTTCTTCTCTCGCGCATAAATTTGCGGTTCTAAACAAAATTATTATTTTTTTTTTTTAAATGTGAAACAAAAAAAAACAAACATTAATATTGTCAATTAAATTGATAAAATACTGAAGGAACATTCTTTTGCATTTTATCTAATGCTCCTCAGATTGATTGAGTTTGTCTCTCGTTAATTTAGATAATGATAATAAAAAGTGATCATTTTGTATCAAAATTTAAATTCGCAGCTAATTTTTTTTTTTTCAATTGTACTTACTCAATTATAAAGAATGTTTGTCATATATGGCCGTGTCTTTTTGACAATAACTATACGTCATTTATTGTTTTTCAACAAATGATTGTGATTATTTTATTGTCTTACAATTTTTATGTTGTTTTTTTTTTTTTTAACAAATTAGTCTCAATTCGAATTTGTAAGATATTGTGAAGTAGAAAGTAAAAAAAAAAAAAAAAAAAAAAACAATCACACTTTACCGAACAGTGTTAGTAAAAATTTGTTTGTCACGTACAAAATGATAAATTTTAATTTTTTTTTTTTAAATCTGCTGCAATAAAAAACATATTATACATAATTTTTGAATTACAATTTTGTATGAAGCATAATTATTGTTTTTTTTTTTTAAATAACTCCCTTCATGTGCACGATTTTTTTTTATTGATAACTGAATTCAATAAAAAAAAATCGATTTAATAATTTCATCTTCATAATAATATAAATAATTAATAAATAAAATAAAATTAAATCTGATTTTTTTTTTCATAAAAAGAAGAAATATATTTATTATTTATAGATTTAATTTTTCCAGACAAAAAAAATTGAGTATTTAAAGAATTAAAAATAGGAAAAAAAATAATTTTATTTATTAACAATTATTTTTGTCAATTATTAAACTGTAATTTAAATTCTATTTAAATTATATTATTGGTAATTATTTTTTTTAACTTTTTTTCTTTAATATAATTATTAAAAAAAGAATTTTTTAATTTAAAAATTTTGTTTAGAAGATTGAAAAATATAATCAAATATTTTACCGAAAAATAATAAAATATATTCTAAATTTATATAATATGTGTAGAAAATAAATTCTTGATTTATAATTTAATTTATTTATAATTTTCATTCTCGCGCTCAAATATTTAAAAGAAATTCCAACCTTCTAATTTTATGAGCCAATCAGAAAACGAGAAAGCCATGAGGTCGCTTTTACATGCCTTTAGGAACACGCAAGAATTATTAATTTTTGTTTCCTCATTATTTCGTAATAAATTAAGCGTAACAATGCAAAAAATATGTAATAAATTGAAGAAACATTTTTTACTATTAAAAAAAGTAATTATTTAATTAGAAGGAGTTTATAATAAATAAATTTTCATTTATTTAGTTGAGTTTTTTTGAATTATTTTACTTTCTCTTGGTGCCAGCCAATCAGAAAGTGCGCGCAGGCGCTCACGCACATAAGCATATTCTCAACACTTGTGACTGTAATGGACACTTATCGCTTGACTCTGGTGTGGAACGTACCAAATAACGTTCAGTGAATTCGGATATTAATCGTGAATAATTGTACAATTAGCACACAATTTTCTTTGTGCACCTTCTAATAGTGTAATTGTGAATCAAAAGTGAACAGTTGTTTTCGATATAAGTGTTAATATAAAGAGATATTCGTCTGAAAATGTGACGCTCCCGTGTACAAGTGCACATGTACCGGTTCCAGATATTATGTTTCTCAGAAGAATACATATTTACTGTCGAATGATGCTGAGTTCAAAAACATCAGGAAACGCAGATTTTTCGTTTTTTCGGTGAGTGTGAAAAATATTCTCAAAAAGTATCAAATTTGTCGTTTGGCGTCTATGTGTGTGTTTTTGGCGCGCAATTTTGTTAAGTTGCTGCGTACGTGCGTGTTAGTGTAACGATTTTTTTTTTCCACGAAATCTATTTTTGATCTAATATTTACTTTTAGTATACATGTTTTTTCTTTGTGAATTTTTTATTTATTTTTTTTTACTAATTTTTATGAATATAACTAGCATTGATATATGTGTGTGTATTTTAATGCTATATTGCGAAGAACAACGAAAAAAAAGTAAGTCTTTTTTGTTAAAAAATAATTTCTTGTATTTTTTTCAAATTTATTAATTTTTCTCAATAAAATTGATTTTTCCAGAAATTGGTGTGTTTTTTTTACCAATTTCTAAAAATAACATTTTTACTGAGAAAAATTAATAATCTGAGGATAATTTTATTACATGTTTTTGATAATTGTTTTTCTATTGTTATATATATATATATATATATATATATATATATATATTCGTATTAAAGAAATTGTTAGCTATATTAATAATATAAATTTGTTAATAACAATTATTATGATTCAATAATTAATTAATTATTATAATTTACATTAAACAAAAATAATAATTATTAATTAGAAAATATTTATAAATAAATAAAATTATAAATAATATAATATTAATTATATTATTATATAATAAATTATTAAATTTATTCTACATTTTTAATACATATAATTTTTTATTTATAATTAAAATATAATTTAAGATATTTTTTATTTCTAATATAATTATGAAAAGAAAAATAATATTAAAATTTTCCTATTTTTTCGACTTCAACGAAAATTTCAAATTCAAAATTATGGTCTTTAATTAGTAATGCCATCTATTATCAAAGTCATTAACTGCGTCCAATTAAAAATATTTATTTTTTTAATTCTTTTATTTATTTATTTTTTTTTGAAATATTTCTTTTTAAATAATTATTTTTTTAAAAAAAATTACATTTTAAAAATAAATTTTCTTTACGTTTAAAGAAATCTGAAATAAAATTGTTATCATCAGTCGGTAATTGGATGATAATTGAATCTTTTTCTTTCATTTATCATTAGTCGGTAATTTGACTAAAAAAAAAAATATATTACCACTGAAATGAATTATTAACAAATGATAATTGAATCTTTTTTCTTTAACTTATCATTAGTCGATAATGTAACTTTTTTTTTGAAAAAGAATTTTTTTTGTACGTTTTATTAAGACCGAGGCAATTAATAGTCATTTTTAAAAAATATTTTTAATATATAGGGCTTAAATCTCTCTTAACGATAAATAATGACGGTTAAAAAAAAAGAGAATTAAAATACATTTACAATTTTTTTTTTTGAAAGAAAATATTTTAAATTCATAATTAAAGATTATAATTATTATTTTAATATTTCCACTAATTTCGTGTTAAATAAAGTTTTTTGAAAGATAAATTAAAATTTTTTTTTTTTGGGAAGGTTTGCGAATAATTCACGTGTTATATTTAATACAGGTTTTTTTTTTGTTTTTTTTTTTTTTTTGTTTTTTAATTTAGAAATCGTTCAAAGGAGACAGTGATATGAATAATATAATTATATATATATATTTTTATATATATAGATATATACAATGAAGAAAATCTTCCATTTATATTTTGTCTGAATAGCAATTTGTGCACCGACAGAATTCACCTATACAAAAATTAACTTTTGAATTCTTTAACGCAAAAATTTGTTATTAACAAAATCAACTAATATAAACAATAGCATAATATATATATAATTAACGTCTCACATATTCCAAAAATATCGAGGTTCATATATTTATATAATTTGAATAATTAAATAAATAGTAACTGATTTTTTTTTCAAATTTAAAATAACGTAAATTTTTTTTTTCTATATTAATTTTTTTTTTCGTGCACTTTGAATTTAAGAGTTTATAAGTGTATAACAATAATTTAAGGGCTCAATTATAACACATTAGAGCTATAATGCAATTTTATATTTGGTGCATGTTTTAAGTTTATTTATTTTTTTTGATTTGCTATATATCGAAACGCTCGTTTTTGTTTTTAAAATAATGGCAATAATAAATATCGATAACCAGCGATGTAATTTTTTTTTTTTTTTTTTTTTTTTTTTTTTTCGTGGAAGATATGAATGCTATTGTATTTTTTTAAAAATTTTGTTTTTTTTTTTATGAAGAGACGCAATTAAGGAGATGTCAAAGATCCTTACAAGCTAAGATCGTCAATAAATCTCTCATATATCTTCAATATTTTTTTTTTTTTTTTTTTGTATACCTTATTTATTTTTCATTTTATCTTCGTATAATAATCATAAACGTACAATTTAAAACAATAGTGCAATAGAGTGTTTATGCAATGTACAGGATACTCTTTAAGCTATAATACAGTTTTTGAAATGAAAATACAAATCAGTTAAACTATTATTGCAGGTAAATCGTTTTTTTTCTGCGTGTGATTTTTTTTTCTTTCTTTTAAATACATTATTTTCACTACTGGATGACAATAATTCATGTTCTTCGGTTCTTTTAGTTTTTTTGTTTTTTTTTTTGTTTTTTTGTTTTTTTTTTTTTTGATCGTACAATGTTTAAATAGACCCCGTCTTCGCTTATTTCACGCGTGAAAGGGTGTTTTAATCTTTCTGAATGTTCTATCTACATGGGTTTTTTTTTTTTTTTTTATTTTTTTTATAGTTTGTAAAATATTCATTATTACGTTTTAAGATATGATTTTTTTTTGCCTCGGTCTTGATTATTACGAAACTTTTTTTTTTTTAACTTCGTAATTATCTCACGAGTCTCTGCATTTTTTTTTTATAATAATAATATAATATAATACACCTCGCTCTTCTTTCGAAGCTGTACCTTTTTTTTTTTTTTTTCTTTAAATAATTAAAGCTATCGTCTATCTATTTTCTATTCAGTATCTAAAAGAACCTAGTTATGATTCGATGATTGAAAAATTACAGACCCTCTTCCACATTTTGTTTTTTCACCCTCATCTCAAAAAAAAAAAAAAAAATTAACAACTACAATCGTAATTTTTTTTTTTTTTTTTTTATTAACATACGTTTAAAAATTAAAATTCTTTAAAAAAACAAATAAATTATAAAACTAAAATATGGAATTTAGAAACGTTTTTCTATTTTCAGTCTTTCGTTTCTATATTTTAAAATAATAATCTAAAAAAGTTTAAAAAAAAAAAAAAATTGGAAAAAATATGATTGCTTTTTTTTTCTGAGGAGAGGGGGAAAAAAAATCGTATACATAAAAGAAAAATTATATCATTAATTGAAAAATTGGAAGAACGTCTTTAGGCTAAGATGATTTTTAAAAAAAAATTTTTTTTTCTTTTTTTTTTTAATAGTTTGGTATTAGTGGTCTGAGATCGTATTTTTGTTCTCTTTTTGACGCAGACCAGTGAAGGTCGGTCCTCAAAAAAAAAAAAAAAATTTTTTTTTTTTGAAACGCCGAATGTTTGACAATCGCAACGTTTCTCTCTATTGTTTTTTTTTTCTTGCTAGACGAGTTAAGTTTATAAGACGCTTTTAATATTTACACTGATATCGCATTTTTTTCGCAGTTTCGCTGCATTTATAATAATAATAATAATAATAATAATAATAATAATAATAATAATAATAATAATAATAATAATGATAATAATAATAATAATGATAATAATAATGATAATAATTATAATAATAATAATAATTATAATAATTATATCATACTTGGTATGAAACTTAAAAACGAGAAAAAAAAAAGTAGTACATAAAGAAAAAATAAACATTGAAGATCACTGGTCTCTTGTTTACAATGCCCTACGATTTCAAAAAAAAGAAAAAAAAAACAAAAAAAGAACTTAGCTTTTTTGCAGACTAGAATTTAATCGAAGATTAATTGTGTCTTAATCTGGTAAATACTAGTGTTTGATTCGTAATAGTGACATTATTTTTTTTGTCTTTGCATTCATTCGCATTTTTTTTATTTATACAGTTTTTTTTTGACACTCATTTTTCCAATCATTCGTACCCTCAGTCGACCCGCTTATCGGACTAACATAATTTTTAGTTTTTTTTGTGGTTTTCTGTTTAGGCATATTTTTCGACGATCGTTTCTCTCTTTCTCTCTGGTTATTTTTGTTAGGCCTAAAGTCGTGTTCGCGTGTCCACGATTTTATCGTCGCTTGCCGATAACTGCATTCGCGTGCGGGCAATATATATATAAAATGTATATATATATATAGTTGAGGATTAACTGCGATAAGTGAGTACACTGTACAAATGTTGTATCTGTGTGTAAAATCTTGTCTATGTGTCCGTGTTTCATGTCCCGTCTTACGTATATACTTTATACAATATTATTTACATGTGCGAGTTAAGAAAACCGCATTACCAACTCCCTAAGCTTTGTGCGTCGTCGGTGAGAGGGGTGGGGGTACTTTTTTTTTTTTTTTTGTTGTATTTTTCGCAAATCTTTTCTCGTCTTGTCTCCAACGTCACGCCTAAGCTCTATCACATTGGCTTCTCAAGCCTTTTCATCTCTCGATAACACAATAGGATAATAATAATAATAATTGTTATAATATTTAATATTGACTGTAGTCGTTACATTGAACGCGATTTAAAAAAAATTCTCTTTTTCTTTATCAGAACAATCACCAGATATTTTTTCTGACTCGTCAAAATTTATTTACATTTTCAATTATTAATTAAAAAAAAAAAAATTAATTTAAAGGTGATTATTCTAAATATCTAAAAATTTAAAAAAAAACGAATGTCTGATTTCCGTTAAGTCTGACTTTTTGGCTAATAGGTCTTTACAATTCGCTACAAATAGGAATTGGTAATAATACAACTAATTACATAATAGTTATAATAATAATAATAATAACATTGGTAACGGCCTGTTTTTTTTTCTTTTTTTTTTTGCACGACCTCGTCAAACGAATCTCTTTTTCGCGCAAAAATTCTCTTTTTTTTAATATATAAATACTCGGCAAGCAAAACGGACGTGTATTTGTGTGTATATATGTGTTTTTTTTTTTTTATTCACAAAGAAAAAAAGTTGTCTTAGCGCTTTTATATAAACAACGAATAAAACGAAAAAACCTCGAATTGGAAATATATGTTATATATATAATATTTTAACGTCAACAGCTTAACGGCTAAAAAGGAGAATGAGGGTCAATAGAAACGATATAACATTAATCACAATTATGCGACATCTCGCGTTTTTATTTTTTTTTTAACCGCGAGATTTTTTTTAAAAAATTAATAATCTAACAATTTGTTTATAATTGGAGATTGCACTGATAACGAGAATTCATACATCCTGGCAAGTGAGCTTTGATTTTTTTTTTTAAAAACACAATAGAAGTATGAGATTCTCGGAAAAATTTCAAAATAAACGTTTTTTTGAACGTTTCGACTAAAAAAATTGTAATAGGCGCGTTTCATTTTCTCTCTCAAAAAAAAACTTTGTTCGTTGCTCACTTATCTTCTCATAGAGAAAAATGTCTCGTTACATTTACAACAGCCTATATATATTTTTTTTAATGGTAAATGCAACATCAGTTTTTTTTTTTTATAATATTTACAATGTTTCTAATTTTACAATACTCTTGTTATACTTGTAATGCTTTTTTTTTTGACAACAATAACTTTTCCCCCCGTCACTTTTATTTAATATTTTTTTTTGATTTTGTGTTACGGCCTTTTTGCACAAAAACCTAGTACCTTTTTTTTTGGAAAGAGTTGTTGATTTAGGTTTTATTTTGCTAATGCCCTGTCCTAGGCAGGACTCAGTCATGACCGAATCCTATCGTTGGCTTTTTTTAAAAAAAAACAAAAACGAAACTTAATTTATTAGTAATCCCACGTTTCTTCGGGTTCATGTTTCACGATCTCTTTGGGACTTTCCTCCGTTGATTGTTGTGTCTGTTGAACTGAAGGTGGTCGCGGTGATGTCACAGGACTTGTTTGACCTGATTTTGGACTTGGTAATGGACTATCACGGTCTTGGGGATTATTTGCCGAAACTGATGATACATCACTTTGGGCATCATCGTCAAATCTATCTTGAACGGGCGTTGGCTCAACTCTTACAGTCTCTTCGTTTTCTCTCTTGACACCATAATCATCTGTTTGCATTACGCATACACCATTAATAATTACCTCATCGCCAGTTCTTGTTGGCTCTTGCCATTCTGGATTAACCCATTGTGGTGCTGCAGGTTTTCGTCTACTCGATCGACCAGTTGTAGGTGCCGATGGTGTTTCAGTTGGTTCACGTTTAATACTGCCTGCTGAACCTTCAGAATCTTCACTACCTAAATTACTCATTGCATCGTCTTCGTCCTCAAATTCTTGCATTGGTTCACGTTTCAATGATCCCATTGATAGATCAAGACCGGAACATTGTTCCTTAAGGGCATTGCCAACAAGAGCGGCTAAATTTGGATTAAAATAGGGTGGATAGGACATTGGTACACTACCAAGGCAAAGTCTTTCTTTTTGAATATCGAGGAGTTTTTGATTTAACATCAATCTAAATTGAACGGCATCAAATGGTTGTCCGGGTTCTCTTGGCGATTGTGGTTCTGGTTGTCCATGTGGTGGTTGTTGTTTTAATCTCATTCGATGATTATGGAACCAATTTGTTATTGTTCTTGATGAAAGACTTAATTCACCGGCAAGAAATTCAATAGTTGATACATTGGGATATGGATCTAGGGCAAATGCAAGCCTTAAGGCTTCTTTTTGTTCTTCGCTAAAGAGAACACGTTGTTTTTTCGCTGATGTTGGACCAGGTCCTGGTGATGCAGAATGATAAAATTCAGCTGTATCGTTACTTGATGTGTCTGAACTATTGTCATGTCCTGGACCACTGCTGCGTCGTCTTTTATTAGCTTCACGTCGTTCATTTTTTAGTGCTTGTAATCTATCAACATTATGAGCATCAGATAACCATAGTTGCATTCTAATGAATGGTTCTCTTCCTTTTATACTCAACATATGCCAGGGTTTAGGTTTACTTAGAAGTTCACTAACAGAACCTTGCGATAATCCCAATACTGCTTCGCCAAATATTTTTTGACCGATATTATTCGCTAAAAGAGCTTCCTTTATTTTCGTTGTGATTGTTTGTGTATCGAGATCTTGCGTTAGTGCGGCCATTTCGTAAACACTTGGTGAAATGTGAGGATGAAGACTTCTTAATGGTGATGGTGCCATTTGATGATGAGGTGAATGTAAATTAATTTGTTGTTGTTGTTGTTGTTGTTGCTGCTGCTGTTGTTGTTGTTTTTTCTGAAGTTCTTGCATACTTAGTTGAGAATGTGGAAGATGAGGACCTGATGGTGTTAACATCATTGGTGGTGGTGGTTGTGGATGTTGTGAATGTTGAGGATTTTGTGGTGGTGGTCCAAGTTGCATTTGACTTTCCTGTTGATGTTGTGCGGCAGCTTGAGCTGCAGCCTGTACTGCCGCTTGAGCTTTGGCTGCATTTTGCAATTGTTCTTGTACAAGTTTTGTTGGTGGCATTGGTTTCATAGGTGTTCCACAAGCTGTAAAATTGAAAGAATTGTTTTTTCTTTAAATCTGATTAGTTTTCAAAGTTATAGTCTCGAAGCTCATTGTGACCTGGCTAATTGTATATGTAAAAGTCATTATAATTTTGAAAAAAATTAAAAAGAGCTCCCAAACTACGATTGGATATAATAACAAAACATCTATATTGACCTGAGTTAAACTTACGAGGCAGGCCGCCGTAGCCGCCGGTCCTCATCAATTTCTCGGGAGCAATTTTGTATTGGCTGGCGACCAATTTATGTACAGCATTGTCATCCTCCAAGAACATTTTCATCCTGATGAAAGGTTCCCGTCCCTTTTGCGTGAGCATGTGCCATGGTTTTGGTCTAGCGAGTAGATCAGATACGGAACCTTGCGATAGGCCCAATACAGATTCGCCAAATAGTCGTTGAGAAATTGAATACTGTGATAGTTGTTCTTTTACCTGAAATTAGAAAATAAAACATAAGATTATTTTCATATTTTATTTTTGGAATCGAATTTTGACAGAACTTACCACTTTACTTACCCTCTTGACAATATCTTCGGTATTTAGATTATTATACATGTCAAATTGCTGTTGTGTTATTGGAGGAAGAACGGCTTTAAGAGGTCTTTGGTTAGCCGAATGATGTGTCGGCGTGGACGGTTGACTGATCAAGCTATTGGTGATTGAGGCCATCCTTTGAAGTGGACTGGCAGCAGCAGCACCGGCAAATTCTTCACTCGGCGTCATTGCAGGTGGAAGAATTGAATTACCTAATGGTGAACTGGCACTTGAACCTCCTGGTGTTGATTGTGGACCAGTTGGTTCTTGTTTTGGCCTCACCAATGAAAAAGCACTACCAGCATGCCTCATAGCCTCTTCCATTTTTTCTTTTTCCTCCTCTGTCACTCCATTCATCATTTTATTTCTTGGATCTAGTTTACCTAAACTTAAATCTTGAACAACACCACCATTTGTCGCTAGATGATGTTGTTGAAGTGCTTGTTGTTGTAATAGAATACTTGGTAAACCAGATAGAGGAAGTCCACCTAATGTGGGATTTTGACCAGAGACAACATTCAATTTTTGTAATTCACGATGATAGGCATCCAATGCCATACGTATTTCATCCTGTGTACGTTCCATACCTTGAAGACCTGGTGTGCCACTGAAAAAGTTTGGAAACATCGCGCTACATTAATCGACGTTACGTGCTGTCCTCAATAAAGTTCAATCGGTTCATTATATATCTGGACTTATTTTATTTATTTTCTTACTAAATTTATCATTTCTCAAAAAGTATAAAAATATATTTGTTATATATTTTAAAAATTTCCCCCCTTTTTTCAGTTTTAAATGATGATTGACATTCCCTATTAAAATGAAATATATATATTAAAATTTTTTAAAAAAATATATATAAATATAATTCATCAATAATTAAACGAAAATAAGTTGGAAATTTAATAAAAATGAATGAAAATTGTAATTCATTATTAAAAATGAAAGAAAGTTTGAATTTATAATATTTTTATTAATGCATTTATTGAAAAAGAATATCTCTTGACACATGATGAATATGTTCCTTAAATATCTCAATTGAATTATCATATAGATTCTTTGCCATCGATGCTAAACATGATTCATATGTGATTTAAATAAATTATTTCCATTATTCATATAGGCGATAACTGATTCATATAAAAATTTTTCCACGAATATCAAAAATAAACTAAAAATCTTCTAGAAAATCAATAACATCAGTCATCATGATGATTAATGAAATCTAAAGAGTAAATTATTTTATAATAAAAGTTTCTATGAAATAAAATAAAGTCCAAGATCCGATTGAATCTTGAATTAAATTTTATAGGGGGAAAAAAATCAAAAATTTAGAGAGTGAAAAAATTTGATTTTGAAAAATATTTAAAGATATTTCACCTTTGAAGGAAATCTCTTGGTCCACGAAGATCATCGACTCTTCGTCCCATGAGTTTTGCTAATTCTTCATGATAAATCCTCACAACTTTTTCCTGTGGAATGTCATCGTTTTCGTATTTTTTTAGTCTACGATTTTGACTATCCAATCGTTCCTTACTAAATGGACTTGGACAGCCAACACGACTTGGACTCTTGCTATCGGCATCATTTGATATCTCGTGTTCACCTCTTAATTGTAGATGGCCAGATTCCGAAAGAATATGAGCAAATCTTTCGTCATTTATTTCTGGTGGGCCGTCCTGTGGACCACGAGCAAATGCCGGCATTCCTTGCTCCTTGCCTGAAACATACTCTACGGGTGAGGCACAACTTGTGGTGTGTTCTTACTCGGTCAGGCGTTTATAGAAATACGATTACATATAAACGTGCTTGGATATGTAGTAATTATCCAAGCTTTTAATTCCCTTAATACATATAAAATTTTCATTTTTAGAAAAATAATTATCTGAACAAAAAAAGGTTGTTTTATATTGAATTTGGTTAAAAGAGTTGAACATTTTAATGAGAGCGATCGATTTACATTTTAGTGGTTTCTAATCTTTAATGGAATCTTGTATCAATCATGATCTTGGTTATAAAATGAGCCTTTAGAGTGAAAATTTTTCTCTCGCGTGACTCTTTAATAAACGCATTTAAGTTTATAATTTACAACATACCAAAAAATCTAAATCGATTGCATGTTGATGTCAAATAATTATTCAAAAAGCCTTAATCTAAAATTCTTAATGTGATAATCAATATTCTAAATCTTAAAAGAAAAAAAAAAATAATAAATAAGTTAACTATTATTTCAAAAATATACTTTGCACTGCCATTTCAAATATTTTCCCTCATTTTCAAAGCGACGTGCCAAGAAATCAATCAATTAGTCTATTTTCGTTGACAACTGTCGACCTCGTGTTTCCGAGGGAGTTTATCCAAAAGTCAATTGGACGTGTTACAAGAGGTTTCTTGTATTTTCAGAAATTTATAAAGACAATAATAAATAAAATTTAAAAATTAAATCAAATATAGATTAATACGAAATGAATATATATATATATATATATATATATATATATATATATATATATATATAGAGAGAGAGAGAATGTTAAAATCCTTGAGAATTAATATATACCAAAATGTTCTTGAACACGATTTGCAATCAAGATCGTAAAAACAATTCTGATAGCCATAGGGGTCGAAGTTGAGAGCAATTAATGTAACGTAAAATCAATAACACCTTTGGTGAATATGACACTCGAGTATATTCCATCGACAATTAAAATTTCCTCTTCTCGGGATCTACTTCTATATGGTCTTCTTCCCATATCCTTCGAACAAGATTTGTCCTACGTGATTCCCATCTAATTGACCAATCAGACGCATAACATTCGGTGAAATCAGCTTTTCGGCTGTGCCCTTTTGTTTTTGCAAAAATTTGTCAAGAGCCAAAAAAAAAAACGAAATTGAAGTAAAATAAATCAAAACTAAATTTTAATTTACAGAATAAGAATATTATATTGATTGCTTTAGAAGGCGTGCGGAAATGATTTCTTGTCTCTTTTTAATTGGAATTCGAATGATGGTCACATTTAAAGGATGCGATGTGGCATATGGGGTATGAGAGGTGTGGTAAATGCAGGATCGGGTAGAAAGGAGGTTCGCGATACGAAGCCAACCATAACTTTGTATCTTATTCGTGTAATGTACGTTTGTCTTATATATATATATATGTGTGTGTGTGTGCACTGTCGCAACTGTTTGAATCCTTGCCAGGCTCGAAGAGCAATGGCTACTAGTGTGATTTTCATCCAACTCCAATTTCGAATCTTCCTTCAACTTTAGAGATATATAGTATCCGGAAAACAAATACTGTGTATAAAAATCGGTAGATAAATATTCAAACATTTCGTGTCTGTTAAATTAATTGGTTTTTGTTACTTATTTAATTTTTGCCCTACGGACATGAAAATTAGACAGTTTTTGTGGTTAAAATTTAATCCACCGAGATGTTTAAGATATATTCTGCGTTTGCGTACCCACTTGGAATAAGATTCCCCGGAAAGTGCCTCCTGGAGGTTCTATCAGAATTCCGCCGGAACTTCCAACGTAATTCCGTCGGAATTCCGCTGGAATCTTATCGGAATTCCGTCGGAATCCCATCGAAAATTCTTTGGAACTCCGTTGGAAGTTCCGACGAAATTCTGATAGAACCTCCAGGGGGCACTTTCTGGGGAATCTTTCCAAGTGAGTAGAATGTATACAGCTTCTGCGCAAACGCAGAATATATCTTAGAATTCAATTTAACGGTGAAAATGGTTTCATACTATTTGGTTATTAGGCGCGATTTAGTAAAAATAATTTATGTGACCGCGTGTGGCGCTGCTTATATATTCCAGGGATATATAGAGGCGCGATGAGAAAAGGCAGACCGCGATTTACGTTCCGCGCGATAAACAATATATATATATAATAATAGTTAGGAATAATAATAATAAAAAAAAAAATAACGCGTGTACATGTATCACGCTCGGTTGAACCGACGCGTTCGATGACTCACTTCTGCCCCGATTTCCATTTCCGCAGGATGACGAAACGTTATTAATAACATAATTATTACAAACGGTTACGGTTCGTTTCACGAACGCCTCAATATTGGCTTTAAAAGACGCATCGAATCTAGGTGCTAAGATATTTCTTCTTTTTTTTTTTTCACAAATGAAAACAATTGACGAGGACAATGAATAGGTTTCGCATGTGAAAAAAAAAAAATAGGAACACAATAAGTTTTCATAGAAGGAAATCATATTTTGCGGCAATTATAGCCTCGTAAAAATGATCTTTTCAATTCTTGTTTCTTAATACTCTGATGAAATTCCTTTTAAAAACTATATATATATAAGAATAATTTAATATTTAAAAAAAAAAACCGGAAGATTTGATAATAAATTAATATAATAGTCGCACAGTGTTTCAAAACTCATTGAAATTTAATTAATGTAGATCTCACATATTTTCCAACTTTGATTGTCTGCAATCACGAATCGTTATATAGAGGATATAATTATAATTTCATAATGATTTTTTTCTTGCATAAATGAAAATTTAACATCAGGCGATATTTTGAAGAGATTTTCCTTCTCTTTTATTCTTGTCTGACTTTAAAAGTGACGATATATAAAAAAAAATAAACGAAACACAATAACGCGTACTGACAATAGTTACAAAATGTGGTATAATTTCGTGGGAATGCGACCGATAGATCCGCGTCTTAAGAAATTTGCTGATTGTTGCTTATGGAGGATGAGGCGCATTGAAAGAGAGAAAGAGAGAGAGAGAGAGAGACCCACTTTGTCGCCATTGTTTTGCCTGAGGAAAAGCAGCTCAGAATATAAGGCATAATATGTATACATCGAGTTGCACCGCGACCGACGCTTAGAAATCCGATAAAATCATCCGCGAGTCCCGCTAATGAACGAAATGAAACTCGTTCGCACCCAAGTGTATATATATATATATGTATTTCTAAGTAATTGACGATGAAATACACACGGTTGGCAGTCTTCATTCCTTGCTCCTTAACTGCGCGGTTACAATTAAAAACTATCCATATAATAGTTAAAAATTGCTTAATAGAAATAATAAACTTGGAAAATATCAAAATTCCAATGGAATTATATATATATATAGAAAACATTAAAGAAATTTCTTCTGTAAAAATAATTTTTTTGGTCATAAATCATAGTTTATTATATGAAAGTTTAGAGGTGTATTTAGCTTCTTTTTGTGTCTATAGAAATCTTTTGGGTCTATAGAAATCTTTTTTTGGAAAAACTTGATAACAATTATAGTATGATGAAGAAAAGATCCGACGAATCAAAGAGAATGTTGATTAATTGTCTAGTTTTAAAGTATAACACTTTTCTAGAACTTTTAATTCTAAAAAGCGATCAATGGAAATGAGAATTTGTGAGATATATAGTCAAGAGGTTAAATGGTTTAAGGGTTACTCTCGTTAGGATCCTTCCTTCCTGTTCTCGTTGACCCTCTTCAAAGAATCCTTGATTTACTGACAACCACTTTTTGGCTTTCAGATTCAGTATCGTAACTATTTTTTTTCTCCAAAAAAAAAATGTTTTAATATCAATAAAGTGAGAAATTAAGATGTCACAATGACTTCCGGCAAAGTGTAATAATCGCAAGCAAAAGTGTAAATTACCTTTCACGTAAATAGAGTGAGAGACGCCGCTGCTGGAATCTCTTCAGGAGTCATAGTACTCCTCTCCTGTACTTCTCTCCGCGAAACCATCCAACCCTCACCCCATTTCTAAAACCCTCGCTTTCTATTCCCAAGAGCTATTAGTCTAAACAATATGGCTGCTAAACGTGGGCAAAAATCGATAACAGCTAGGATGCAATCAACCTGGGAGATGTTTGTAATATGTCCGAAAAATAATTTTATCTTTCAATCAATATGCGATGATGTGAAAATGATTTTCATAGAAATGTACCAACGAGTCCTATATATATATTAGGCAAAAGTAGAAGTTAGTGGATTCGATGAAATATTAATAATTGGCAGTGCAAGGCGAGAGGGAAATAAAATTTTGCTAATCTTAATTTTTCATTTTTTAAATCAATAATTATGATTTGCAAAATATTGTGGACTTATGATAACCAGACAGACAGACAGACAGAGAGAGAGAGAGAGAGTGAGTGAGTGAGAGAGAGAACTTACCTTTTTTAGGAATAAGGGACTTGAGCAGCAAAACAGCATTATCATCGCAAGCCCATCCGTGCATTTTTCGATAACTGTCTCTACCTTTTTCAGTCAATTTGTCCCATGGCTTTGGTTTACTCAATAGTTCACTAACAGTTCCTTGACTAAGACCAAGAACATATTTGGCAAATAATCTCTGTCCAATATTGTGTATTGATAATAATTCACGTACTCTTCTTGCAATATTTAATGTATCCAAATTTTGTGATGCATATTTATCCATATTGTAGCGTAACATTTCTTGTAGTCTTGCTTCCATTGGATCACTTTTTGGTATAAGGGATTCACCAAGTCTACATGCCATTCCAGCTGCTCCGAATTCATCACCAAATCGAAAGGGATGTGTTCTTTCATCAAAACGAAATGGACCCTTTAAACTGTCTAAAACACTAAGTGCGCCAATATTGTTGTTTGTCAAATGATGGCTATTATTGTTGTTATTATTGTTACATGATTCTTCAGCGGGACTTTTAGGTGTTGTTACTTGATTTGCACCATTTGAATCGATAGTTGATGTTGGTGGTGGTGGTGGTAATGTTGCAGGTGGTGATGTTAATGCCGTTGATGATGGCGTTGGTGGTGCTGGTGTTTCATGGCCGGGAATTGGTGTTAAGGCTTTTTCAGTTGCATCCAATGAACCCAATGGTGTTGTCGATTTACCAGGTGTATTTGAAGATGAAATTGGATCTGTTGGTGATGGAAGGTGATTTAAATTACTTGACTGATGCTGAAGTCCTATAAGGGTTGGTTGTTGTTGTTGGGAAACTTGTGACGTTTGTAGTGGCTGCTGTTGGCTCATGATCGTCTTTTCCAACGATCGCCTCCAGTTTGCGACAATCTCCTCGCCGAGGAAGGAACCGAAGGTTTCAACGTTTTGGAGAGGTGGTGGAAAAAGGAGACTTGAACTTGTCGATGTTGCTGAAGATGGTGTTGGAGTGGAACGTGTTGGGAGAGTTTGGGATGTTATAAGGGATACTGGTTGTGGTGGTAATGGTGGTGGTGCGTTTACCACCCCGTGGGGCGAGGCGGTCGCGGCACGCTGCAGGGGTGACGATAGTCCACCTGCAACCACCAAACAAAACAAGGGATCCGGTCAACATCATAACACGATTTTAAAACACTTTTTTTTTTAGTTTTAAGGTCATTCGATAAAATATTTCCGAATTATTTTTGAAAGAACAACCTCTATTTGCCTAGCTGATCGAACACTTCGGATCCCGACACTCTCTTTTCAACCATTGAATGTTTTTTTTAACATGTACCACTGTAATATTGTCAAGTAATTAATTTAATATATTTCAATGGTACATGATATTACATAAGATTTTAAAAGGTGATGAGGTTTGAAAAAAAAGGGTAGAATATTTTGGAAATCCTGATGTAGGTTGAAGGATTCAGTTAGGATGACGTTGCAGTATCTCCCTCTGCCTCTCCGTCTCGTTTTGTTTTTCACTGTCCTCCGATTCGATTCGTAATAAACTCGGTACACGAAACAATGGTTTTGGTACTGGTGCAAATATTACTTTTTTTTGGGGGGGTGGGGGAAGGAGAAAAAAACGTTTACAAATTTGCGTGCTCGGAGATTTATCCATTGATGTTTGGAAGAGGTGGAGAATTTGGAGAGGTAGAGGTTTATTTGGTTGCGTTTATATATAGTTTCTGTAGAAAAAAAAGAAAAAAAAAAAATGTTTGGATAAGGGTGAATGTGCAGCCTAAGCAAATGTAGTGAGTTTTGAGAAATAAAAAGAATTCTGCCAAGGGAAGAAAGTGCAAAAACAAATATAGTTTTTTTTTTTTTGAAACAGAAATTATTTCATAAAAGAAAATAGTATTTATGGGTATAAGAAAAGAAATAGTATAAAAATGAACACAACCAGAAGCGGGGTTAGTTTTTACTGATTGTAAAAATAAGGACTCGATTGGCCCAATTTTTTTTTAATAGCCATTTTATAACGGAACCTCGGAGAGAGAGTCAGGGCCGAAGATCAGAGCAGCAGCATAGAAATTAGTTAGTTTTTTTTTTTTCTTTCAATTTTCCCTAAATGACTTTCGAATATTTCTTTCGGAAATTATTTGAATTAGTAATATTTTTTGTAAATGAAAATTATTTACCTAGATTGTCAGGCGTGCTTGGTGGTTTGAGATTCTCTGCTTGTTGAAGGGCTTTTGAGCGTTCCATAAGAAGATGTTCGAGACTTTTACCAGGTTCACTAGTTGGTATTTGTGAAAGATCCACTGACCTTACAACGCTTATTTCTCTTTTAAGATCATCATAATCTTTTTGTTTTTCTAATTTACTCTCAAGTCTACTAATATGTTGTCGACGCGCTTCTAATTCATCCTCTAAACGCGCCGCTGTCTGTGCACTTGATTCCTGAAGTCGTTGTAAACTTTGTTGAAGCCTTGATATTTCCTCCACAAGTTGGCTAATCTGTAACAATAGAAATTTATTATTATCAAATTTAAAAAAAAAAATTGTAATTTAATCTATTTTAAGTCCTACTCCTTCTCTCATTTAAAGCATCCTTCTGAGCTAATCCATTATTAATTTTATTGGAAATGCATTTCACTCGAGAGGCAGTGTTGTAAGCGCATTAATTACTGGCATTGAATATATAATTATCTAGGGTATTCAATTGAATGATGTCCAATCGAGGTAAAATGCCAATCAAGAATTAGGAGATGTTATTCATTATACGTTTATTCAAAATTTAGAATATCGACGATTTATGACGTAAATGAAAATAGCTTCTTTATTTTATTAGACACGAACGTGATATGATGACTGGGGTGTAAAAATTGTAAGTCTTGTATATGTACCTACTAAGGTTGTTATTACCATACTCTATAGTTAATATGTACATATATCGAAAGACCAATTGTGATACTAGTGCTGATTAAGGGATTAAAAATTCGAGGAATTTATAATTAAAATTTTTGAATTGATAAATGTTTGAAAAAAAAAAATGAAATCAATAATCCTTGACGCACACGCAAGTTTTAAGTTTTCATTCGTTCTTTTATTAATCGAGGGCTGGTCAAGAGTCGATTGACCTCTGGTTATTCATAATCGATAAATACGAGCAACGTGTGCTTGACTTATAGGTATTTGCAAATAGGTACACTGATGTGCCATACATCAACTTCGATACAGTGCGAATACGGCCACGTGGCCAAGTTCTCAAACTTGGTAATAGCGGTTGCCATTAGCGCCAGTCGGGTCTTATAGTCGACAATTTCTCTCTACTATATATATATATATATATATGCAAAGGACAGGTGGAGTTAACACAACCTCACGTTCGATGACCCGCTGTCGATCGTTTTAGATTCATCTGCCATATATATGTATATTTGAAAAATAAATATTATTAAGAGAAATTCAAGTCATATACATAACCTATAGTCCAACGAAGTTGAATTAATTATTAACTGAATGATGAATTTTCATCTGATAAAAGTTATATTAAGAAATATCTATATCTGGGATATATATATATATGTCTGACGCGTTATTTGAGAATGAAATTTACAGTGTGGAAAACTATAGTTCACTATAAATGGTTAAATGAAACTATAAGTAGATATATAACTTAGTGACATAAAATGTTTCTGTAGATCAAGTGTGTTTAGTTAGAATTAAATATTGAGGTGTTAAGAAGTTCAATTAGAAACTAATAAAGTAGTATATATATCTAAAACTGTTTATAAGTATTACCAGGGTTTTAAATAAAAAAAAATAAATAAATTATTAATTTAGAAAAAAATTGTTATGTTAATAAAGTCACGATAGATTATGGATTGTTTTCTTGTGGTAAAAAAGGGATGAGGTGAGAAAAGAGGTGGTTGATAAGGGGGTAGGGGGGGAAGGATTGCCCCTAAATCCTCTGTGATTTTTGCTATTTGCATTATGGGCGTCGAGCTTTTGTTTGTCGAGCTATTGATCACATTTTCTCCCGCGGTATAATCAATCTTTTCCCACACAAGGAAACCTCTGACACTTATGTACTCAATACCATGAAACGACGCATATATACGTCACACATGTGCGTAACCCTCCGCATATAGAGGCCGCGTTTGTATTTAATTTTATAATACCCGCAACATAATAATTCATATTCTAATTTTTTTTTTTTTTTTTCAATTAAATCCATTTTTCTTGATAATTACGATCAGCTAAATCCTGAGGTATAAAAAAATAAGTCCCCCACCTTTTTTTTTCTATCTCTCTCATCTCGCCGCAGGAGAATGCCAATTAAAAGCCGGAGAGAGAGAGCTGGAAAAGAAAGTTCAATCGATATAGAAGGCCTTTCTTTATCTTTCTCTCGTTCATATATACTATCTCTCATTTCTCTTACTGGCGAGAAGCGAAGGGTTGCCGAAACTGGAAGTGGAAATTATGGGTAGGATTAATATGCAAGGACTGGATACGTGCGGTGTAGCAGAGGAGGATGCCAGTATACAGAAGGAAGAGAAACGGGGATTTGGAAGAGTATATATATATATAGTCGTTGGACAAGGTTGGGAGAAGGTTGAAGCAACAAAAGGGGTCGAAGGGGAAATATGTATAGGGGGTGGGGTAGTACTCGCATCTCATCCCCACTATTTCTTACAGGATACACGGCTAACGGACACCCCTATCGATTTTACAACTCGATATATGAGAATACCCACTTGTCTAATGACTGATCGGGCTTCGAGCTCAACCCTTTCTCTTCCCTTCGTCACTAGGAATTCTCCTCCAACTACTTCTCGTCTCACCCCTTCTATATATATATATCTTGCCTCATTACATCACATCTAACGCATCTTTGAACTAACATTTTCCTAATGGTGTTGATTATATTTTCTCTCATTCAATCTCGTCTAAATAGGATTCGATTTTTTTGGGGAGAGAGAAAGATAGGAACAATATCTGGCAAGGTACATAATGGTATTCGCGAGATGAAAAGGAAGGACAAAAAGAAGAGATGATGGTCGTAACATAGAGGGTAAAAGGTAAAATGTATGATATTTTATTTTAGCGTTCATCTGGGCGCCGCTAGATAAGCCTCTGAGGATTTATGCTTATTACAAGAGTGCAGAGTATGGGGGAGAAAGAGGATATCAAGGGGAAAGGGGTTGCAGAATCTCTGCTCACTTTTGCCCAAAACCGTCTCGATAGTATATACATATAAGAGGGGGGGGAGGGGGTCGTGCGTATAATACACATCAGACTATGAAGGGCCAGTAGAAACGACTTGTGACCGCGTGATATTGCCTTTTATGTTTCAAATCATTTCGTTTCCCTCGGGTTCCATATTGGCCTTTTCCTTTTCTTTTTTTTGTTATAAAAATATATATTCTTCAATTAAAAATCATTTTTTTTGTCGATTTCACGATTGAGTGAATTTTGTGCAAGTTTTTGGGGCGAATAAGTAAACTTGATCAGGCATTGGGAAGCCGAGAATTAATATTAACCACATATACTCCCCCCCCTTCCTTCTATGATTCGCATTACGAGGACCTACACGTTTATGAATACATACTTGCGCGCCCCCTCTCACTCACTTCTCGTGTGTTCGGCAGAAGCCATATATTAGTCGGAGTATTCGCCGGAGAGAGAAATATTGAAACGATGGAATGGAGAAAAGGGAGTAGAGAGACCATAGCTAAAGAGAAAGAGAGAATCGAGACGCCCGCTCGACCGTGTAATACTCGCGGTAAAATTCGTAACACACACGAGAGAAAGAATAAAAACCAGATTTTAAAATTGCCGATAAACGTTTTAACAAATTTTATAATCTATTAATTTTTTTTTCTTTTTTTTTTCCCCTTATTTTTAATGAATTATTATTTTACAAAATATTTGATTTTCATATAACTGATGTCAAAAATGCCTGCCAAGCTTTCTAGGGGTTATATGAAGTTGGAAGCGTTTATTTCATAATCAGCAGCTTTCGAATCGTCGCTATTGTGTCTGCCGCCGCATATTGACAGAAATGCTCGATACGAAATGCAAGGCCGCTAATCTCTGACATTTATGCGCGACTTCCAGTTGTATATACGTGTGCTTGTTTTTGTAGGTGTGAACTGAGCATTAGAGTGAAAGGATGAGATATAGAGGGAGTGTAAGTTGCACAACTATATTATATATATTCTGAGCATAGAAATACATGTTTGCCACATTGTCCTTTCTATGACTAATGAGAAAGTTGCAAATATGAGATATTTGATTTTAAAAAGTTCTATTTTTTTTTCTTTTCTTTTAAATATATTCAATCTCTTCTCAAGAGACATAAGTCGCATTAGTATTCTCTGATGCGAGGGAGTATTCTCACGTATATGAATTTTTTTTGTCCTGTCATTTGTCTCCAATATCTCTCGCCGTCCGAACGGATGATGGTGTGGACCCCTTTTCTCCCGCGTGTCCATAGGGATACGATATATATCGAATAAGCCACAATGACAAAAAGAGTCATAGTGTGTGTATGAGTATAGCGTCGTCGTAGTAATGGTTGGCAGATGAGAGCGAGAAACAAGAATATAAGAGAAAGAGAGAAGACCATTTAAAACCGAGATGCGAGGAGAAAGAGATTTGCATTTGCCGAGAGAGAGAGAGAGGGAATGAGAAAAGCAGGGGATGAGTAACGACACGTATCATACGTAAGGGCGATCAGGTGTGTGTGGACTTACACAAAGAAAACTTTTAACGGCAGCCAAGTTCTTCTTCAATTAAAACCCCTGGTGCACCCTCGTCAAAGGGATGTGAGTCATTCTTGTTTTTGCAATAATTTTTTTTACAATTCCCATTGCGGCAGTTTGTTGGAAGTCAAATTTATACCAGAATAGAGAAATCATTTGAGAATATTTTAAAAAAATGAAATTATATTTTTACTCAATATAACTCTTTCATTGATCTATGGACTCTAAGGTACCCCTTATCGTAACTCTCCTTTTTCGACCCCTTTGCCCTCTCATCCTTCGTTATTTCCATTCTTTCTGTCTCTCACTCGAAATATTACCTCTCTCTCTTTCTCTCTACCTGCGCAATGACGAATCTCTAATTTTTCTCCAATTTGAAGTAAAATCCTATAATTTTGCACTAAAAAAAAAACTTTTTCTTTTCTTCTAAATATATGTGTTTTTCCCCTCTCTTTAACCGAGTGTATTTTATACTCGATCGAATCAATCGTTCTCGCCACGACATATCGCCACGTGTGCCTATCCATATGCTAAAGCAGGTACATAAGAAACGACCGCGTAAAAGTATATAATAATTGAGTCGTTAAACGGTAGACCGAACAAATCAATATAGCGCAAAAAAAAAAAAAAAATACTGTTATTTAGTTTGGTCTCATTTATAATAAAGTACACATAAATATCAGGGACACACAAATAAACTGGGGTAAAACTCGTGAAATTATATTTAGCATATTATCGAATTGATTTTATAAAGATTGAAAAGTTAATAAGAAATAAGAATTTTTGATGAAGGTCTATATATTTCAATATTTATATTTATAATTGATCACGATGAATCTTATATAAACATGAATTTCAATGCAGATACTCTGAAATTGATGGAATGTTCCAAGAGATAAAGGACACGTCAATAGCGTGCAATCCAGCATATCGATAGCTAAATTGCTTCTGAATATATACGTATATATCTTTTATAACCCACGAATGTCAATTTCTGATACCTTCATCAGTCAAATAAATCATAATTTTTCAATTTATATATTTTTTTTTCTATCTCTTTTATTTTTTTAAATTAAAATACAAATACAAAATTATATTATAAAAGAAAGTTTTTAAAAGTTTTCAAACGACGACGGAGGAAAAAGGAAGTAAAAACAAATAAATAAAAAGTATATATATATAGGAAATAAGAAAGCAAATAAAACCCAAGAAAGCACCCTAACCTCAGGCAACGTTGTCGTGGTGTTGGAAGGGTCGAAAGAAGTTTCTGACCCGCTTATACTGGGGTTGCACGAGTCCGGAATTCCCCGCTACTTTACAAGAGTTTCCAAAGTGGCGATGTAGACGCTCTCTTCTTCACCCTCACGTTTTCTCTCTGTCTCCCTTAAGTCTCACCTTCCCACTCTTTGATTTCTCCATTCAAAACGCTTTCTTAGTCTCTTTCTCTCTCTCTCATGTTTTCCTAATGGTAAATGGCCTAATCCCTTGATTTTACTTTTGCAACTAAAAATAACTAAGTGACACACATTTACGCACTTGAGATGGCAAATATTGGCTATAATACTATATATATATATAACCGGAAGAAATTATAAATATCGCCTTTCCTCAATTAGACCGTAATTAATAATCTATTGTTGGAATATATTTTTTTTCAAATGACAATAAGAGTACTTTTCAATCGAGAAATTCCGTCATTCGCATTTGATTTAGGTATTAATTTCGTTTGGTTCAGAAAGGAAACGCGCGTGCCGACTCTTGGCCATATTGGATATCGAGAATGATTAATTAGCCCACGGGTTTTTGCATCGATCAACTTCCCCCCTTAGCTCCTCCACCCTTAGAAATGCTGACCAAGCTTTAACCATTCTTTCATTTGCACCCTTCTTCTAGGAAAAGTGTGTAAAAAAAAGTTTGTTTTTTTTTTTTTTGAAAACAAAAGAAGGAAAATTAGGATCGACAGCCCCGATCATTGAATGAATGGAGAAGCAAAGCTAGTAGTCAGAAACCCGCATTGCTTTGGGTTTCTGTGCCTAGCTAGCAACACAAGTGGAAAGGGGTAGGTGGTGTGTAAAGGGAGGTTGAAAAGGGTGACTTTGGTGGTGACGGTCTGTGTGTGAGAGAGAGAGAGAAAGAGAAATAGAGAAGCAAAGCTCGAGAGAGAAAGGAGCCGAGTAGATGGTTTCTCTAGTTTTGTCTCTCTTGGTATCTTATACCGACACGATAGCTCGTGCTTCGTTCCTAACCCTTTGCTGGCAATTCATCCATCCACGTTCTCTCTCTTTATTTGAGTATAATTATTGATTATTGGACGACGGAAGGCTGGCTACTCTAGGAAGAGGGATTGAAGTAGGAGAGGTTAGCGGAGAGGAACGGTACCAAGGGTTGTTTGGGGGTAAAAAGGAGAAGGGGGAGGGGTGAAGAACGGTACGGGAGGATGATTAAGCTATATGCCTGGCATATCCCACCCTCTCTTTCTCTCATTCCACTCTCTTTCATCCACCTTTCCCTTCCGTCGTGGGCTCCTTCCCCCTCTCCTTCCCTTCTTCCGATAGCCCTGTCTCTCTCCGTCTTTCTGAACTGACAATTAGACTGATAGGTATATCTTAGTCTGCTATCGATTTGATTCCACCCTATCGTGTGAGTATACACCAGCGGGCAAAATTTACATCGTGTATGCTGCTACAACAGTGGGGCTGGTTTTCCACTCTCTCTCTCCCCCTCCCCCCTCGTCTTTCTCCTCCTTCGAATTCAAGTTTCTCCCTTGACCCCTCATCGTAGTCCATATACCCTTCTTCCCCAGTCATCATACACCCTCGAGCAGCCTTCGATTATAACGGAAACCTCGTTTCTATAGCGGCAATACATCCGTCTTCCAAGGGGTTGATTAGTGCATTACCGTTTCGACTTATTCTTGTCAGAAATCGCATGACATTTGAGAAGCGAAACACTTTTTGTTCCTCAATTCATATATTATTTTCTCTATCATTTATTTAACTAAATAATTGTACTAACATTTATTTCTTTTCTGTTACAGATGTTTTTTGAAATGATGGCAAAATAAAGAACAAAAACTGGATATTTTTAAAGGTGAGAAAAATTCTTTTTAATAGCTGTGTTGGAAAAATAAAAATTATCAAGCAAAAAACAAAAATCACTAAAAACAATCCGATGCTTCGATTAATTACACAATTGACTCAAATTTAATCCCCCTTGTTTACTTTTTATCTTAATTAAAACACTAGATTTTTTTTTAAACAAAAAATAAAATTTCTTATTTATACCTTGTATTGTTGACAATTTGTAGAATTGAATGCAATATTTACCTGAAACAAAAAGAAATAATTTTTTTTAAGTATTTTTGTTTTCTGCTCAAAAAAATTGGAGTAACGATTCTTTTTCACTGATCTGATTGTTTATTACAATGACAGATTTTAATTTAAAATTTAGAAATAAAATTACACTTATTCTATCGAGGAAGTAAAAAAATGATGCAATTATAAAAAAAGGATCGTTACCCCAAAAACATAATTGAATTTTGAAAATAACAATGAATTATTTATTTGATTTATTTCTATCGCGACTTCCTTTCTGTCGAAAACTTCTTTTAATAATTTATATGAATCAATTGACGATGAAAAATATATAGTGTGTCAATTGAATTTTCTAATTAGATAGTGTGACACACATTTTTGATTTCCTCTCATTTATAAATGAATAAATCATGGAATTATATTAAATGTGATGAGAAATATATATATAGAGTTATGACTTATTTCGCGAGGGGCGCGATTGAAATTGAAGTCGTATGATGATTATTAAAATCTGATTGAAAATATACCGGTTATCGATGGTATTCAGACAATTCTCGTTGGTAATGTCGAATAATAATTAACGAAGTTAATCGACAGCAGGACGAGTGTCGACGGTACTTCAACACACCATATATATCCCTCTTTTTTTTACCTCTCTTTTCTACACTCCAAGCACTTTATATCATTATAACGCCGATAATGAAATTTTAACCACATCGAATATCGATACGTCGACGTTATATATCGTTCGCGCTATCAATCATTCTCTAATATGCATACACGAATATCTATAATATTAGCCCTCCACCCTTTTCACTTGGTTTCGGTATAATTGACACCTGTCCGCCCTGCGAGGGAACACCTATAGTTACTATTATCCCTTCAAGTCAATTTTTCCCTTATATCAACAATCTTTTTAAGACAATTTACACCAATTTTTTCTATGATGTTTTAATTTTAATATATACCTACATTATATGTTTGATAATTTTATTTGATTCATGACATCTTCTTTTGTTTTTAAATGAATTTTAATATTTGACGTTTAGAAATATTAAATTTTAAAATTATTTCCCAATAAATTATAGAATAATGTTTCGATTTTTAAACAGACAATTAATTAAATATATAACAAAGTAAGTTAAATTATTTATTCAATTTAAAATTTTTTTTTTTTAAATGAAAAAAAAATTAATTTTCTTTTTCAGGAGGTTAAATTACAATAGAAATAAAAGTGATTTTAATTCTAATCAATTTTCCGATAAATTAGTATTTTACGAAGGCAAATTTTATAACAAACAGGTATTTTTAAAAAAAAAAAAAGATTTTTAACAACATTTTTTCTAATACTAAAATTTTATTTCTCAAATAGAAAAAAGAGTTATTGAAACAAGTGAAGATAAAATTACAAGATGAAGTGATTCTAATGAAAGATGAAATTTTCATTCTTGAAGAAAAATTAGATAATTATATTCGTGATATAAATGAAAATATTCGTTATCTAAATGAAATCGAACAATGTTTAAATACTCCAAAAACAAAAGATTCATAAAATTATCGTAAATTTAATAAAATCTAATTTGATGATAAAAAAAAAATTCAAAAATAGCTTTTTAATATATGTGCTATAGATTATGATTTATATCTAAAACATCAAAAGAAGAAAAAAAAATCCCCAGTAGCGTGTTTTTATAAAATGATATTTACGATACAATGTCCTTCAAGTTTTATAAATATTATTTTGCTTACAAGAAACATAAAACTTTGTCACAAAAATTTATATATGTTTTCTGTGATTTTGGCTTCGCTTGACATTTATTCAATTTCTATCAAATTATTCATATATACTTTGCAGTCGCATGTTATGCGTTATAAATTAGTTTAATATCGTGTAAATTAAGCATAAGCTTAAAATTTAATAAAAGTCAATTTTACGTATAAATTTAAAAAAAAATTTTAACGCTTCTCAAAATTTTATTAAATATTTAAATTACAAATTTATACGGTTTTATAATTTTGTAAATTGGTTTGATTTTATAGTTGATTTACAAAAGTAAAAATAAAATCGACCTTTTCAAAAACATTTTTGATGTAAATTTAAGTTTAAAAAAATTTCCTAACTATATTCTTTAAGAATAGAAGGCTATTAACTTATTTTCACTTTTGAAAAATGAATCTGCACGCAAAAAAAAATCTTCATCTTGAACAGCGATAAGTTTCTCTGGCGATATATTTCTCTAGAATAGGGAAATCTTTCGCTATTTTAGTGAAACATATCGTTGATCTAGGTAAAGATTTTTTTTGCGTGTTTAAAAATTCTTAATTTTTTATATTAAAACGTGTACATGTTTTTTTCAAATATAATTTATATATGCGCCTCCAAAAAGGGGATTTAAATGCAATCAATTTTAGGTTATGTTTAGTGATAGTACCTTCAGTAAACGTTTATTTTTAATCAATATTGAATATTTTGAATCTAATAAAAGCTATAAATATAAGTAGTTTGTATTAAGAGTATCTCTTTATTTTCAATTTAAAAATTTGCAAACATAACCTAAAATTTTTTTTTTTGAAGGTCCCTTTTCTCATGGAACGTTACAGAGGGAAAAAAAGTAAATTAGCATATATACATACAGTTTTAATCAATGAAAATTTGATAGGTCGTGTATGTATATAACAAAGAGAATGAGATCAATTATTATCGATCGTTGCGTGTGTTACGTTCGAGGCTAATGAACCTCGTAGCGATTCACAGAGACGTTAATCCCGCGAACAGGAGAGTTTTATCGCTTGCAACCCTCTCCCAAGTGACATTGGCGCACGCTTGTCGTAAAAATCTCAGATATACCTATATATATATGGACAGGTAAACGAACCAAAATGAAGAAGGTGGCTCTTTCTCCCTCTCACAAGGGTTGTAAATTTGTTTATTACTTTATGAATGATAGTTCGACGGTAAATGAGCGAGAATCTACCTTAGTCCTTATAATGTAGGTTCCAGCTTGATCGAATAGAAACGCGCGTCGTTGTAAAAATCCATAAAGAAATTTGATAATAAATATAAATAGAGAGGGAAACCCGCTTTATCCGAGGGTGTTCTATCACCTGATTTTATAATGCCAAGGGTTGTAAAAGAAAACAAGATAAACGTCAACACTTTTTTTTCAGTTATATGTATGTGTTCTTGCAAGGTAGAGTAATATAGAAAAAAAAAACCCGAGAGCATAAATGAGAAAAGTAAACAAAAAAAAAGTAGAATTTTACGATCACGGTTTGAATGATACTAAAATAAAATACTTCAAAAAATTTTGTTAAAAATATTCGGTGAATTTATCAATGTTTTAGGATTTTATACAAAGGGGTTGTTACAAAATGGGTCCATTTTTTTTTCTAAAAGCAAGTGTCAAGTGACCGGATTTGAAGAGTATGAATTGGAAAATATAGATATATATATCTAAAGTATGACCCTTAGAAGTACTTGAGCGTGTTAACGCGCGGGAAATGATTGATCGCACTTTGTTAGGTCGGTGTGTGTTAGTTGGTTTTCTGACATAATGCTCTCGTTTATACTCTGAGACGGTAGGCGCGCATATATATATATGGTTCGATAATGCCCGGATTCTAACAGGACGCGTTCAATAACGCGCGCGTTCAATCCATAAGATATTAAGGCTTCATGTAATGTATAAACATATATAGGTCCGATGTGTTGTCTACATATGCGGGTGGCTTTCTGGGATCAGTTACAATGACCCCGCAGGCCTTTTAAATGAAATAAAATTACCTATATCCTCTTTGCTTGATTGGCCGATGATGATCGTTCGACTTGTGTGAATTAAAAGGTCCCAAGAGTGGACATTCTACGGGTCTTTCATTTTATTCCCCATTAGATTTACTCCAAAATGCGGGACACTGATTTAAAATCACTTAAATATTCTTTTCTTTTTTTTTTATTAAATGAAAATTATAAAAAAAAGTAACTTGACGTTTTAAGAAAAAAAAAAAAAATAATTATCGAATTGTCGGTTTGGATGAATGCGCGATCCGCGGTTTTTATCTTCACCGACACCGTGGGAAGCGATTAGTGTCATTTGGAGAATGTTGGGGGACACAGTTTTTTTTCGTGCCCCTTCATGGAAGAAATTCTCGTCTCGCTTAGTGGGCTTTCTATATATATATATATATAGTTGATTCGATGGAATATACGCAATTGAACCACCTGCACAATCTAAGTACATTTCGTGTGTGCTGATATATCCATGGGAGGCTTTATACTTTGAAGATTGTGCAGGTGTCGAGTTATCGGCGTCGATAAATCCAATTTAAACTTGCTGCGAGAAGTTTAATCGATTACAAACTTATAGAGTAAGTGGCCCTACTGAATCGTTTTCAAAACCTAATTATACCAAACCCGCGCGATTATTTAAAAGGCAATTTTTGTTGCCAAAAAAAAGAGTAATCAATACTACTGGAAGGAAAAAGGGAATATACATTTTTTTTTTTAGTATAAAAGCCGGGTATTAGTTGTTGGGTAAGATACGAGGTCCGATATAGCCATCACTACACCCAGGGGGCCTACTCTGTTCAGCAATTAGAATATCTCAGTTTAATCCAGCTAACCAATGTTTACCTGGTGTTTTATCAAGCTCACCATTTTTGAGTATATATACTTTTTCCCTTCTTCTTTTTTTTATTATTCTTCTATTCTGTTTGTCTTTGTTTATTCGTGTTTCGAACTTTTTTTTTTATATATGTGTAAAAGTAAGAAGGTTAAATAATTCACTTTTCAATAATCCCAAGAGGGAAAAGAAATCACTCGTCTTATATTGATACCAGGGCTATTAAACTAATGAATTTAATCAGAACGAATGAAAATGAGGCAGAACGAAGAACCCAAAGTTGATATTTTCGTCCCTTGCAAACGATTATTGAAGATTAGATTTTTAAATTGAACTCGATATAGACCTTTAAAGGTAGGGAGAGAAAGAGAGAGAGAGAGAGATAGTTTGGCT